ATGCCATCATGAAAGGCTAAACATGGTTTTCAGAAGAATGGCTTCATTACCACAGGAAGAGGTTGTTACAGAATCCTGCCTTCTCTGTAGTTGCCTCTCTCTGCTCATACCCACTTGCCCCCTGGCTCTTCTGCCATGCATGAGGAACTTGAGGAGGTCCTTACCAGAAGCTTTCTAGCCTCCAGAAATGTGAGCTAAATAAGCTTCTTTATAAATGACCCATCCCTTGTATTCTGTTATAGCAACAGAAAATGGAATGTGACAAATCAAATATTAATGTCTTGACATTCTCACAGGTAAGGTAAATGATGACTCAAGGAGCCACACCATGGTATCATACGTACTGATGTCTAATTGCACAAGTATTTTGAAGATACATATTGAAGTCTTCATCTAATTAATTATGCCTCTATAAGGAAGCTAGGAGTAGTGTAAAAGAGAGTAGGCCCAATATTGAGACTCAACAATGTAATGTGAAAGAAGGAATTTTTTCAAAAATTTTATTACTTTTATTTTATGTGGGTGAGTGTATTGTCTGCATGTCTGTATGTGAATCCATGTCATGCAATGTCTGCAGATGTCAGAAGAGAGTGTTGGAGGGCTGAAGAGATTGCTCAGGGGTTAAGAGCACTGTCTACTCTTGCAGAAGACCCAGGTTCAGTTCTCAGTACCACATGGTGGTTAACAACCATCCTTTGCTCCAGTTGCAGGGTATTTGATACCCTCTTCTGACCTCTGTGGGCACTGTATGACATGGATGTACATAGACACTACATAGATACAACACACAAGAAGACATTAAGCTGATGCTGACTTCAAACTTCATCTCTACTGGCTAGCTTTCATAGTACTGGAAGTGTTATGCATGTGACCAGAAGAGAAAAGTAATCATCAACCTTACCCAGGTGAGAATCCTGGGAGCTACAACTGGCCTAGCCAGATTTGCCCACTGGTGCAGTAGTGGCACAAAGTTAAGGGGATAACCAATCACTTTTTAACTGGATTTAAGGTCCACTTCACAAATGGAGCCTGTATCTGACACTGATATCAGACTTAGGAACCCGTGCTTAGACAGGTCATAGGCCGTAGGGAGCCTACTACCATTATTCTGCTAAATGGACATACTATTAAACTGACTCCTAACAACTTATTGTTACACCCATAGATTAACACATCTTTCAACTCTTACTAGAGAAGATTCCTCATGCAGCAGATGCTGATTAACACAGAGATCGACAACTGGCTACCGTGCATAGAATAAGTGACTACAGAGTGTTTATCCTACATCAAGCCTCTGCCTCCTAAGGCTCATGGATCACTGTAGTCCCTGGGTCACTGCAGCTGAAATCAGTCTTCATTCACAGACACACTGATAGCTATGTAAAAGTCATTAGCCTTCCACAGAAGAATGGCAGATATAGACTCATGCAATGTGCGCTATAGAGAGAATTGTACATAACCTCACCTTAAGTATAACATAAGGCAAATATGAGTCTCATGTTTGTAGTTCCAGAACCATGGAGGGTGAGAAGGGGTAACAGCCTCTGCAGGAGCTTCTCCTCTCATTTCTTCCTCTAAACACAGGCAGATCACAAACTGCATCTAAAGATTTGGGGTTGAACTTGTACCAGGGAAGGCAGATAAAGGAAAATGGGTCCTACTGCACACAACTTATCTTCCAACCAATCCTAATATCACATTTCAAGTCCTAGAAACTTATAATCATCATGTTTAGTGCTGTGTCCATTGCTGCCAAAGCTCTTGGGACTGGCAAGCTGCTCTCTTAGCTGCTGCTCCACTGCTGGCTGGGACTCCTACCACCATGATTAATAAAATATCAAGCTGCTGTGTCCTCCTAACTCGAAGGCGGAACAGGAGGGTTTCTCTCTCTTCCGGATACTAAACAAAACTTCAATTCTACAAACAGAACACTTGGTACTATTTATTTAAACCTTTAACATCCTACAAAATAGATCAATACAATAAGTACTGATTGAATATATACCTGTAATAAAATCCACAGTAGGGGACAGACCAAAAAGAGTCTCCCTTCTTAGCCTAAAATACCAAACATTTTCCATTTTGCTACTTCAAGCAAGCTTGTACATAAACTCATATACATAGCACTAGGGTGTCTAAATCTACCCCCACCTGAAATCCCATGCCGGAACCCTAATCTTCGATGTGTTATTCAGAGATCAGATCATGAGGCATGGAGCCCTCATGATGGTGAAAAGACACAAAAAACCTAGTGTCTTGTTCACATGCCAGGAAGTGGGAACCCTGAGCTCATTTTTCCAGCCTCTAGAACTGTGGGAAATAAATGTTTGTGGTTTAAGCCACCCAGTGTATGGTATTTTGTGAAGAAACTGGAGAAGATGCATACAAGAAAATTTCAGCCATCTATTGTACAAATTTAACACCACAATGAGTAGAGATCCAGAAGCCTCAACTTGGTATAGGGAAGCACCTTAAAGTAAGGTTCTTTCACTGATAAAATCTTTCATTGGTAGAACACGGCAAAGACATCTGAGATAGTCTCCCATACTCAGCAGATGGAGAAAAAGTGAGAAGCGTGAAACCAGTACTCTATCCAGCTATGACCTCAAATGCCCCAGCTGGCATGTGACACATGCTTTCCACACTTCTCCCTAAAGCTCGGTAGAACAGGAAAGACACATGAAATTCTAAGAATACAGAGGTGTCTTTTAATTTACAAAAGCGTTTTATTTTCTGCAGCCCATGTCATCAGGAGCTATGAAATGACAGATTTCTTTTTAAATATTCTTTCTGGGGGACTGGAGAGATGGCTAAGGAGGTAAGAGCATTGGCTGCTCTTATAGAGGACCCAGGTTCAGTCTCCAGCACCCACACCAGGCAGCTAACAACCATCCCTAACTCCAGTTCCAGGGGATCTGACACCTTCTTCTGACCTCTACGGGTACTGCAAACATGCTGCACTTACATACATGAGGGCTATACACTCATACACATAAATAATGACTCAAATGAAAATTTAACTCTTGAACAAAGATTATGAAATAGAATTGCTACATGTGTTAATAAGCAAACGTTTGTAAAGTACATTCCACATTAAAAAAAAAATCATCTTGGATTCTTCCCTGTCTTTCCCCACATGCATTCACCAAATCCAATAGGTTAACAGACTAAATATCTATCTCACTGACCTCTTTATCCTCATCCTAAACAAAGCCATCATCATCTTTTTCATACGCCAAAGATCCACAGGCATGGCTTATGTACTAAATCTGAGCCGAAACCTGGTTTTGAGGCGGCAGTTTTACTGGAATATGTTCACATCCATATACCTACAGTGTCTTTGACCGTTTTCACACTATACGGGGGGAGCTGAATGGCTATGACTCATTGGCCCTCAAAATCTAAAATATAGTCATGTGCCATAATATCAAGAGCAGACTGTGAAGAACCATAGCATCTCATGACACCTTTGCTATCTTCGGTGTGCTACACAATGACAAAATTATCCAACACCTTATTTCCCAGAACATATTTTCATTGTTAAGCAACATATTACTGTATTTTTTATCTAGCCCTTTATGGAAAAAGACTGTAAGCCTGGAGTAAGAAAGCTATTAAATAATCTCCTACTTAGTTACCCTACCATTTATTGAATTCGTTCTCCAAACTACAGCCTCAGGGAAAGTTTTAACAATTTTTAAAAATATATTTGATATTTTATTTTTTTATTTTATATATATGAGTGTATTTATTGCCTGCATGTATATAAGTGTGCCCAAGTCATGCAGTGTTCACAGAGGTCAGAAGAGGACATCAGATTTCCCTGGAACTGGAGTTATGGACAGTTGTTAGCCACTATGTGGGTGCTGGAACCAAACATGGGTCCTCTGCATGAGCAGCCAGTGCTCTTAACCACTGAGCCGTCTTTCCAGTCCCCTTACAACAATTTGATCATTTTGTGTAAAAATAAATCCAAACTTAAAATAACTTCCTATTAACTTTTCTAAACTCTTCTATCATACTACCCAATCCAGCCTCTCTGTTCCTATTAGCCTACTTCAATATTCTCAGGCTCTGATTGCTCTAACACTGAGTACTCAGCACACAACACTTCCTCAACCTGGGTCTCTCTACCTTCTCCTTGTCCCCTCTCCACATAAATGTCAGCTTTCTCCAGGAAGCCTTTCCTGACCCGCTGGGCTTCTATTAGTCCTGAAATCTCTCATTACTGACCTTATCAGACTAGTGTATATTTAACTTTCAAGTTAGATCACCAGCAGCACAGAAATGGAGACAGGTCTGTGGCAATAACTGTGAACATAAGGACCCCTGGCATCGAGTAAAATACTCTGAAATTTTTGCTCAGATACAATTATTCTATGCATCTTGTTTGGAGAATCTAAAGAACTTCATCTTAGAAATTTATGAGAAATAATCGAAGAGTGTTAGCAAACAGATAAATCAGACATTTACCATTTATAAGCTAAGTTTATACCCAAATCTGAAAACCTAAAAACGTACCACAAGACCATCTCTTCTAAACACAAGTACTTGTGTGCTCACTAGTATATTACCAGAGAAAACTCTTATCTTTTAGAGCTCAGGCATTATTCTAGATCATAGTTAATGAAATTAAAAAATATATTTGTGATGGTTAAAATGGGTGGTTGATACAGTCTGTCAAGCTGACAGATCTAGAATCACCTTGCAGAAAAACCTCCAGGCTTATCTGTGATGAAGACCGCGTTAACTGAGGTGGGACAACCCATCCTAAGAATAAAGAGGAGGATGAGAGCTGTGCGTCAGCACTCCCCTCTGCTTCCTGTGGGTGCACTGTGACTCGCTGCCTCACACTCCTGCCCACCTTCCTCACTAAGATGGAATCTGGCCTCAAATGTGAAACAAAATAAACCCTTCCCTCCTTAACTTGCTGCTGGTCAAATATTTGGTCAGAGCCTGTGATGGCAGGATGATGAACCTCACGAGGTATTCTCCTCTACCTGCTCTTCCTGATCCTTTTCTTGAGTCTTGCTTCTGTGAGCAGCAGTGGCATCCTGAGAACATGTGGCACAGGTCTGATGCAGTGGCATGCTCATCCCAGCCTCCGGACTGGCCTCCTTCTTTATGGAAGTGAGTCTCCACTAGTAGAGTCATTTTGGGCCATGGACTTCAAGCTGGGAGAAATGAAGAGAAACATGACTGAACTAAAATGCTTATCTAACTTCCAACAGTAAAAGCAGTACTTTACCTTATATCCACACTGAGCTTTGAGTAAGTTACAATGACAAATGCTTGGTCTTTAAAAGTGATAGAAAATGACTAGGGAAAGACTGCAACATTTATTCCTTTGCTGTTTTTCTTAAATAATATTTTTTATTTCTTCTTTGAGAATTTCATGCGATATTTTGATCACATTCACCCTGCTCCCTACCTTTGTCTCTTGTAATAAAATAAGAACATTGGAGGAAGGTAGTGGATCAGGTTTGCAAATAGTCATAGATTAGCCTTCTGTTGTCCACCTAAGTTAAACATCAATGTCTCATTATCATATTATTTTTGAAGCTAAACTTTTGTTCATAAGTAAGAATTTTTATATTTGTGTGTGTGCATTCCTGGGATTTAAACCTCGAATCTCATATACTGATCTTTCCTTAAAACTGATGACCTTGGCAGGATTGCAAGTTTGAAGCTAGCCTGAGCCACATAATATCTGTCTGTTACAAAAGAAAGAAACAAACCAAAAACCAAGAACAAATAAGCAAAAAAACAAAACAAAACAAAACAAAAACCCATGAAAACCAAGCAGATACACACTGAACACAAAATGAAATAAACAAACAAAAAATATTCATTGCTGTCCTTGGGGCTGGGCTCACAGCGCAGTGGCACAGTACCTGTCTATCATACCTAATCTGAGTTCAGTCCTCAGTATGAAGCTTAAAGTAAATAAACAAGTAAATAAATAAAGAAAATTCTATTGACCTTGAATTGACATAGTGGCGAGACCGGAGGAAGAAGTCTAAAACTCAAGGTATCTATGATTCATGCACATCCTTCTAAATGTCCAGACTAAACCAGCTGTTAGCAAACTTTTCCTATAAAGGGCAAGATAAACATTTAAGGCCCTGTAAGCTCAATCTGCTCTACCTACTTAACTGCCAGGCAGAGTGAAAGCAGCCATGGACTAAGCAAATGAATAAGAATTTGCATGCTATGGCCTGGATATGGCTTGTCCCTAAAGCTTCATGTGCTACAAGTTTGGTCCCCAGTGCAACATTAGTTAGGTCGTGAGGCATTCAGGATAATGATTAGGTCTTTTTTTTTTTTTAACTTATAAAAGGAAGACTTTATTTGAGCTTGTGGTTTCAAAGGGGCAAGAGTCATTGGGAGGGGGAGGTATAGTGGCAGAGGTGGCTGGAGGAGGAGCAGAAGTTAAGCTCTCACATCTTCAAGCAGGCACAGGAAGCAAGAATGAAACTCAAGATCCAGCAAGGCTTAAGAATTCTCCAAGCCCGCCCCCAGTGACATGCTTCCTCCATCATGGCCACACCTACTAAGACCTCCCAAAACAGTGCCACCAACTGGGGACAAAAATGCTTAAATATTGGAGCCTATGGGGGCATTCTCATTCAAATCACCACAGATAGTATGGAATAAAGCATATTCTAGGACTTGATACATTGTTTTCCCTGGAATTTAGGGATGAACATTATTTTTTTTTTAATTTTTACAAAACCTTTATTGAGAATTTCACACATGCATATATGGTGTTTTGATCAAATCTCTGCCCACTCCCTCCCCTCCAACATTCCCCCCTCTGAAGAGGTAACCCTAAAAAATTTTAAGGATTAGATATAAGCTCCAAAACACTTTGAACACTTTTGGCCTTTGGAAAAGGAGTATATTGCTAAGAGGCCCAAGGACGTTGTGAGTTTTAGCCAAGAAACTGGCTACTTTTCTTTGGGGTCTGTTTACCCTAACTGCCTAGCCAATTCCTGCCTCCTATTCTTATCACACCATCCTCTGAAGAGGTTACCCAAATTGCCAATAGGGAGTCAAGACACAGTCCACTCTGGCTTCTTCCATGCTGAACAGGGAATCAGCGTGAGGCAATCAAGGACATTTTGACTTTTAGCCAAGAAACTGGCTACATTTCTTTGGGGTCTTTTTACCCTAACTGCCTAGCCATTTCCACCCTCCTGTTCTTATAATGATTAGGTCTTTAAGAGGGACTGATGTTCTCCTTGCAGGAGTTAGTCTCTGTAGTTAACTCAAGATCATGCTGTTAGAAAAGCAAATTTGGTTTCCTTGCTTTCTTTCTTGCCACATGATACACTGTTCTCGTTCCTTCTCTCCCACTGTTCTGTACCCAATCCTGTGATTGGCATTTAAAACATAGTAAGAGGACCTCGCCAGAAGCCAGTGCCAGTGCTATGCTCGTGGGTCTTCAGATCTGTGACCTAATAATCTTTTTATTTATAAAGTACCCACTCTGCTATGGTGAGACAAAATGAACTAAGACAGCACATACCAACAAAACTTAAAACACTGGTGGCAGGCTTGATTTGACCCATGACCTAACAGTTTGGCAAGTGTTTCTCAGGGAAGATGGAGGTGCATCGTGGACATTCCTGAGACCCCTAAGAAGGCAACCTGCCTCTCGTTAAATCACAGTGTCTACACAGGCCGTCTTAAATGACACTTGCTCATTTCTGCTTGTTGCCCTACACTCTCCAGAGTCTCTAGTAATCAAATTGTGTGCCTTTTCTTTCCTTGCTGATCCCAGAGATCCATCTCTATACAAAACAAATTACTTATATGATTTTTAATATTAATGTTTCATAATGCTGCTGAATGTTAAAGTACAGAACCCTAAACCAAAAGAATGTATCTTAATTTGGGGGTCCTGGTTTATTAACCATGTACTGGGTGGGCAGAGAGGACAAACAACAGGACCTGACCACCCTAAGGCCACATCTGACAGATTTACTCTGCTTCTCTCAACTCTGCCCTGGAACAAAGGTGTTGGCGAGGCTGTTCCCAAGCCTTCTAGTACCTTTAACCAAGCAGATCAGCAGGACTCACACAGTGGATTCCTTCACACAAATCAAATCAACAAGCAACAGAAAAGAACAAGGAACTGTCAGATATCAACACATACAAGAAAATGAGCTACAGGAGCATTGTTTTAGAGACTCTACTTTGGGGCAACTCCAGTTCCAGGGGATCCAATGCCCTCTCTGGAATCTGCAGGCACCTGCACTCCTATGTGCATATACCCACACATATATACATAATCCAAAATAAAAATAAATCTTTAAAAAAAGAAAATCTAGTTTTATAATAGGTGAGTAGGTAATAGTGTCTAGACATTATATATAACCTACTACCTGGGGCCTTGATGAAGCTGGTACAGATGAACACTGTGCCCTGCAAATGGCCTGCATGTTTATAATCAAGCACATCACACCACACAACAGGTAAAACTGCTGAATTGCTTACACTCTGGGATATCACAATGGTCGGGAGTGAGCAGTGTTTTCATTACTAAGGCATCAAAGTCCTCTGGTACAGATAACAAACCCCATGTGGCTTTTTGGAATAGTCAAATTGGACATGTCCAGAGCCCTACCACCTATTATGTCAACAGGTATAATCTGCTTCTGATATAATCACTATTATTACCTCATTGGTATATGCCCATAACAAGCCTAGGAAAGACTTCCTACACTATAAAGAACAAACCAGGAGAGTTAAAATGCTTTCAGCTTTGAAGGGTCTCCTTCCTCATGGCATGCCCACTATTCTTCGGACATGTACCACCACCTTCAGGGAACACATCTGTAGTTTGCCAGAAGCAGGACTATTTAGGAGAAACATAAGTTTATAAACAACCCATAAAACAGACAATGTCACTATTTATGCAAAGATTCATGTGAAAAATAAATTAGGTATTTATTTTATATCAATTCAATTCATCTTGAATGAAAAACAGTTCATCCTTGGCACTATGCTGGACAATGTAGAGATGGACTTCAGTTCCACCAGTGCTAACGTGCACAACAACACAGTGGAAATTAACACCCACATCTAGAGGTACTGGATGGCCAAAGATGGTTGTTTGGGTCAGGAGGGAGAAATGGATCATACGATAAGTGGCTCAGTCAGGGGATGCAACTTGGTAGTAGAATGCTTAGCATTAGCAAGGCATTTGCCTCTTGATCTCCATCACACAGAAAACTGAGGGGAGAATTTTCTTCCAATTCATCTACCACTATCAAAATCTAGGCTGATGTTTTGGCACAAATTTCACAAACGGGTTCCAAAATATAAATGAAAATTCAAGAAACTGGGAACTGGTAAAACAGCCTTGAAAAAGAACAACTCTGAACAACTTTGAGGACTCACATTCCCCAGTTTCAAAGTTTACTACAAGGAGCAGTAATCACAGCAGTGGTATTGAAACACAGATTTTCAGATCAACAAAATAAAATTAAGGAGTTCAGAAATAACCTCCTGTACCTATGGTCAACTGACTTAGAACAGCACGACAACAAGAGCCCATGGGGGAAAGAATGCAGTTTTCAATGAGCAGTGCCAGGCAAGTGCCAGCCAATTCATGCAGAAGAATTACTCTGGATCTTCCCTCATAATAAGAAACAAGAAAAACACGACATTGTCAAAATGAAATTTTTTGTGCTTCAAAAGGCACCATTAAGAAAGTGAAAAGAGAGGCTGATGGGGACAGCACAGCGCTTGCACAGTATGTGCAAGGCCCTGGACTTAACACCCACAATTGCCCCCCACCCAAAAAAAGGAAGGGAATAAGAAAAGAAAAAAAGGAAAGGTAAAAATAAAAAGAGGGCTGAACTCGCAGAACTCAGGAGTGCTGAGGCAGGGGATCATGAGTTCAAGGCCAGCACGGGCTTTCACAGTGAGATCCATTCTCAAAAGAAACAAAACTCAAGAAGGGGAGAAGAAGGGAAGGAGGGAGACATGAACATTCACAAAATAGAAGATAATCTCTGACAATCATATATCTAGCAAAGATCATGGATCTGGAATACACAAATAATTCTCAAAATGCAATAACAAGAAGACAGGTATCCCAGTAAAAAATGCTGCTCAAAATTATTAGTCATCAGGAAAAGGCGAATCAAGCCGTTAATTGTGT